CGCGCGATGCGTCAGGTAGCTCAATACTCGACGCATCACGCGTGTGGCGGGGAGGCCGGGCGCCGCGCACGCAGGCACACGCACGCGCACGCACTCGCTCTTGGCACGCTTTCCATCAATGGGGCCGCCGCGACGGCCTCATCCTTCGTCGGTTATGATGTGCCAGGGCGACGCCGCGGCGTCGGCCTGTGATGTGCCTGATGATTAGAAGCTTTGTTTTTTCGCGAAAGGTTTTTAATTTCGCGAGAAAGAATAAAATATATCTCGTTAATTTGGCTTTCTTTTAAATTAGGGTTAAAAAATAACATGTATTTATTTTTTATTAAATTTTTAATTTTATTTTTAAATGGGAGGTAGGTAAATAAAATACAAATAAATCTCAAGAATTCATTATTGTGATAAATAGCTTTTTATAAATTTGGAGTTCTTTTATAGGCAGAAAAGAATCATAATCAATAAACGTACGCTGAGTGCTATATTGGTACTAATGAACCAAAAACTTAGTATATTCTCTCTTTTTTCTAAACACAATTTTAGGATACAATTTTTTAAAGTATTCCAACAATTAAATTTGCGAAGAAAACTTAAAATCGTTCATGTGTTCGTTTCTCTTATCGTTAATACTAGTTAATATTATACGGCTTAATAACGTTGATACGCAAAACTCAATCCTCTATCGATATGCGAGCGGGGTGACCCCTGCTGCTCGAGTTGAGAATGAAACCTAACTCCGACAAAAGTGAGCTACTGGCTTGAAACGAAAGTTAGCGGATAGCTTGCTGCCTTAAGCAGATTGAAGCTCAATGCACTGATAAGGAGCCGCGAATGATAGCTTTGGATCGACTTCCGAAGTTAATCGCAACTGAACACTGCGGCTAATAATAATAATAATAATAATAATAATAATAATAATAATAATAATAATAATAATAGAAACAACAACAAAGTTAACAACAAAGGAGGCTGCATGTTCGAGTCCTCCGAGGACATGGTCGTATTTGTGATTGTTCTTTTACCCCTCATCATCAACCTATTATCTCATAATTCAAACTTCACCTTGTCGGATTGAGGGATGCAGATCAAAAAAGCTGATTTTGGAAAAAAGACAAGTGTAAACAATTCAAATATGTTTAACATTAGATTTTTTCTTTCAAATATTTTATCAAGAATATGAAATAATTTGTAATATTTGTATAAAGCATTCTAATTTTAAAACTAATATTTAACGTGGATCTTTGCTTCTATTATATTAAATAACAGTCTACAACGCGCAATCGCCGTATCTAATGAAGTTGACCTACAGGTTGGAAACGCCTTATGTAAGGTGGAGTTGAAAGGTGAGAATTGGTGACTTAATAAGAATTGCGGTAAACAAAATAATTAGCGTTTAATCATCATTAATGTTAATTTAACATACTGTGATTTACATATTTTTAAAAGAATCCATTTTCCCCAAATAATATTGAAGAAATGTGAGATAATCTTTGAGAAATAATTTAGAATAATTACATTTATGTACTTATTAATTATAATACTAGACGTGTAAATTACACCTAGAAGCAATAATCCTACATTTTTCAGGTAGAGTTTTCAGATTTCATTAATTTCTTGCTGTCTTGTTCTTTAGAATATTCTAACAATAAATCAAGCGTCCTTCTTAAACTTCATTGGTTCAGTTTGTCACGCATATCTTTATTTGCGTTTATTCCTTTTTAAGAGCCTACAAATACTGACTCATTGAAGATCGTTGGTGATTATTATGAATAGGTGATAATGATGGTGAGGTTAATGATTAAGAAAGTGTACATTGAGATACGGGGGAAACAGGAGAAGGTATGTTTTTGGCTTTTTATATAATCACGAATTACATCATCACAATCACCCCCTCATAATTTCTCATCTCTCACCCTCATCATTTACTGCTAATGATCATTATTATTTATCCAGTGGAAGGGTATTACAAATAACCAAACCTTTCTAAAAACATGACATAAAAATCTTGAGATAGATTTCTTCCTTGAACACTGAGAAATGGGTTTGGCACCTATCATATCGCATCAGATATGAAAAAAATATGCAGGTCAATCAGAAAGTAATGCCTCCTATTTTTTCTACTTATATAAAATTAGTTAAGCGAAAAAAACGAGTTTGACTCTATTCCTCACACCTTATTCTACAATCCACCACTAAAGTAACTATCTGTGATATGTGGCAGTATAGTAGTCGTTGGTAAATTGGCCAACATCTATTTTCATAAGAGACCGCGTTGTGTGACTGAATTCTTGAATGTAGAAAGTGAAATGCACTTTTATATTAAATAAAGACTGAAAAATGAACGGTGATACAACTACGTTAGCACTGTTACACCATGGGTTCGTCGCTGTAACAAAGCTGAAGGGCAAACACTGTTTGCTGACGAAAATCGGAGCGGCAGGTCGGTGACTGTAGTCGCTCCATTCAGCAAGTTGATGACATCATTCGCAATGAACGCTGGGTGAATGCAAACGAAGTGAGGGAGGTGAAGTGACTCAATTCGTCTGTATCATTTCACCTTTTGCATTCAAGAATTCAATCTTACAGCGCTGTCTCTTACGAAAATCGATGTCGGCCATTTTGCAAACGATTGATGTGCTGTCACATTTGCATACGCAGAAAGTTACTCTGCGGTGGATTGGGGAAGGAGGTTTGAGGAACAGAGTCGGAATCAAATTTTTCACTTAAATAGTTAATTTTATTTCGGTAAAAAAATAGGATATATTTCTTTTTTACTGACCTTCGTGAATTCAATATTCTGGATGCTGAACAGAAATCATATAAGTCAACATTTTAGCAATTCGTTGCTACAACAATATTGTGTACTGATTGTGAATGTAATTTTTCATTTAATACATTACTTGAAATTAAATTTGAATTAATCGATTGGAGTGCATAGCAGGGTAACGTGGCACAAGAGTCCATTCTTCTTATAAAAAAGTGAGTTTCTACTCGTGTAATTGTCATTTTGATTCGTTTTACACAGAGCTATGGATAATATATGAATAATAAACTGTCTAAACAATAATGGCGTATCTTTAAATTTGATGTCTTAAAAACATTAAACGAGGATGTACAGTGTTAGGACTTCAGCACCAGGTACGTGGTAAAAGTTCCAAACAAAAGGGGCAAACAAAATATCAAAACTTCCTTAGAAATAAATTAATAATGTTTACAAGGCGCATACGCATTAAATTAATGTAACATCAGCTTTATTAGTGAATGAATAGATGTTATACATAGATTCTAAAAGGTCATAATAAAGTCTTTAATTGCAAATTATACTCTGAAAACACAATCTCATAATAATTTCAAAGTATATACTGTATATATTAATTCTCACACAAACCACACAAAAATTGTACTCCCTCTTTAGAAGTGCATTTTTTATAGCAACACTCTACACGAATCCCATTGGATCCAGTCTTCAGCGGGAGGATCCTCGAATTCCATTTCGCGAGCAGGGCCTAGCCTTATTGAAGTATTACTCAACTAATGTGAATAAAATAATCTAGGTAGCGGCAAGTAATAATGAGTTGACTTCAAAGGTACAAGGCAACTGTTTGTAGAGGCCAAGCAGACACTTTCATAACATTCGTATTGTCTGTACGATATGATCAGTGGTTAGCATTCAAAAGTCTCAGCGTCCTACATATGTACATTTTATTATTCTAGTGACCTTCTTGAACAGTATCGTTCGTGATCTTCATCACTTCATTATCTTGAACTAAATATCAGAGTCCAATGATTGTATTTCTCCGTCTACGTCATTTCTAAAGGAGATTTTTCTCTTGTTATGTTGTAAGGGACATGGCATTTTATTGTTCTCCTTCTTACACTTTAAGTTGACCAACGTCAATTAATTCATGAAGATGTATATTTTTAAATACATAATTCAATTAGAGTAGTTAAAATTGGAATATAAAGTGCAATTAGAGATGAAACGGAGAAACGTATCTTTAATTTTAATTTTCGTTCTCATTATTCGCAACTTTGTTTAAACAAAACAACGTTTTAAGTGTCACTGTACAAATAACAGTGTGATTAAAGCCAACAAAATACTATAAGTAATTACATCGAGGTGTTTCACACTTCGTTGCCATGAAGGGTAATGCATTTTTTTTTTTTTAAGTTTGCAAAATATTACATAAGTTCTCGGACAGTCTCTTCTGTTGTATGTCAATGTATTTATAAAACTAAGAATTATGTTATTATTTTGATTTTATTATTGGTGAATATTCAATATCCATTAAATAATTAAATACCTATAAATAATACGTACAATATTTTGTCCTGCCCGAAGGTTCTGAAATCAGCATGTTGGTCTCGTTTCAAGTTTCCAGAATGACACATTAAAGCTAAGTACGGCTGAAGAGATCGACCATAAAAATAAAACCTATTTGGTAAATTTACAATTTCAATAAATTAAAGACTGCAATACTAATCAATAGTGGCATAAAATAGGGGTATTGGTGGAGCAAGAGCTTACGCCCAGGACTCTTGCTACTGAATATACTCGATCAATTGAATGTGCGTCATCAACCAAGAGGCGTCATTTGCCGCGAAGGGCATTTACTTAGGATCTCCGTTTGACGAGAGACCCTGTTTGATGGGGGATTCGTTTGACGGGAGATCCATTTGACGAGTAACTTTCATAGTCGAGGGTCCTGCATTTGACGAGGGACCCTCTACTTGACGAGGGACCCTCTACTTAACGAGGGACCCTCTACTTGACGAGGGACCTTCGTTTGACGAAAGACTTCCACGCCTCCCCCCCCCCCACTACACGAGGGATCCCCACCTGACGAGAAATCTTTCTTTCCTATATGACCACATTTCCTATGTGACATTCACCGTTCCTCTTATCACCTTATTCCTCCAATATTTCATTCGCCCTATCAATTTCCCTCCAGCGACTACCGTCTCCTCCTGGGGCGATCTGGCAACGGAGTGTCGTGTGTGCGCAGGAGCCGTCGGTCTCTCGGCTTCTGCCGCTTCTGCTGCCGGCGGCGCTGCTGGCGGCGCTGATGGGCCCCGCGTCGGCGGGGGCCTCGGCGCCTGCAGTTCTGGTGACGGACTCGCGCATGACCCGGATGGTGGCGTTGATGGATCGCGGCGCCTCGTGCATGCCCTCCAGCGACAGGTGAGTACACTTCGCCGTTAGCCAGGTCGGAAGCTCCTTTGTAGAATAGACACAAAGCCTCAATGTCCTGCCGAGAATGATAGGGGGGATTGTCGAATCGAAGTGAGTCTTGAAAAGAAGGAGAAAATTAAGCCGGGTATGAAATCAAGGGATGGCAAAACGGGGAAATATTTGATCGGAAAAATGTCAAGAAGAGAATCGTTAGAAAGGAGAAATGATGGAGCGACGAGAAAATGCCGGGCCGGGGAATTGGTGGTTCTGAAATATAGCGGGACTGGAAAATATCGGGACTGGAAACTGGGGTTTGATAGCCGACGTGACAGATTTTCGATACAAGCTAGTTATTTTTTCATAGGGCTTTTTCCAGCCGACAGCCTATTACAGTTATGATGGGACACATATTCGACCAGTGCGAGGCCCTCCGAGACATCACATACATGAGAGACAAAGGACAAATAACCATGCCTACGGCGGGGCTCGAATCCGCGATCCTTCCGACTGAAGCGCTGAGTTGGTACACGCTCGTAGTCACCTCGACCATCTAGGTCGGCTCACTATCGAGGTATTTAGGTATAAATAAGCCACGGAAAATTTTAGCGGCGAAGCTGCTTTGAACGGTAGTTTTCCGTGATTTTGCTGATCAACACCACGTTAATGTTAGACCAGCACCTTAATAAATGAGCCGCGTACTATCTCCCTTCTCTCCCCTTACACACATAATTACATGAACTACACTATCACAAAACGTCTGGACACCAGTCAAAAGCTTAATACCAGATACGGCGGTGCCCCGATGGCGAAGATATCTGGAGCAGGAAACCCTACAAACCAATACATTGTTCGCAGTCAGTATCTCACGTGCTAGCGGGGCATGAACACCGTCATTTGCTGACTTGAGTATGTTTAGGATGGGGCGGTGCCCTGTTGATGGGATATATCTGGATGCAGAAAACCCTGCCAGCCAACGTATAGTCAGCGCCGGATCACCATTCAGCGAGGGAAAACGCCTCCCCCGGGATGAAAATCAGCGACCATAGCAGATGACGCGCCCAGAATCGTGAAATAATCAACCAACCCACAAAAGTCTTTCCAACCAGCAAACATATTTCCTCGCGTTGGGCATTGAACTTGGGTACTTAGATTTTGGAAGGCATTCATGTTAGCCTTATATCGCCAGCATCAAAGATGAAACAACATTCCCTACGCATTAAGAACAAAATTGAACATTTGTAGTGGCAATTGTAAATAATTCAGAGATTTTACATGTTATTATTTCAAGATTTAATTTTGAAGAAAAGATTAATCAAGAAAATCACTATATTCTATATTCAGCAGAAAGATGCAGAACAAAGTTTAAACTTTTGCAACTTTTAAAAATAACAATTCAATAAAAATAGAACCTGTCCGACTTTTATAAGTGTAATTTGGTCTTTCCGAAAAAAAATTTCAAATTTCGAGTCATTTTTGGGAAAATCTTGTTTGAAAAATTGGCTTTATTTCTCACTAAAATGCACGAAAACTACTCATATTTTTAAAAAATTGGTCATAACCTTTTTTCAAGATTTCATTTTAAAACACTGATTAAGAAAAAATATACAGTTTCAATATTGTAGTTTAAGTGAATATGCCGGAAATTTTAACTTTGGCAATTCCCAAAAATTTAGAGTTCAATGAAATTGGAATCTGCGCCATTATTAGCTACCTTTGTTTGATCCGACAAGAAATGTACTCCAAAAATTTGGAGCCATTTAGGTGAATATTTAAAAAATAACTGATAAGTTTTGCTGCAGAATTACATGACTTACCTGCAAGCGAGAATTACCTGCAAGCGAGGAAGTAAAAACGATTTGAACAAGTAATTGAAAGACTTCGGTAATGATCTAGTTCCGAACTGTGCCGGTAGTGTGTGCTGACAGTGGTAAATTCCAGTAATGCCACATCCTGTTGGTTCGTGTTGGTTCAAATAGAGCTCTCCACCTACATACCATTATGTAGCATCATGGGTAGACAATTAACTGTACACACACTGCCACCACTGTTGGGAAGAAATTCCATTAGTTGTGATCACGAGATTTGAAACCTACATAATGCAGGTTACGCACAGAAATAATTCTCAGGCTAATTTTTATTTCATAAAAATATTCATTTGTGGAAAACACTAAATTGTAGTCCTGAATAAACTTGTATACCGTTTTCAGTACAGTTCTTTTTCGATAATAATATACAAAAAGTACTTTGTAACCATTGTCATATTTTAAAACTCTTATTGAATGTAGTAGCGAAGTAATGAGATTGAAAATTGAACACACTCAAATATAATTGAAGGAAATGAACTAATCACATATAACCTTCTTAACATTTTTTTCATATTGCGGAACTACAAGTTAAATATTTGACACAATTTCAAGTCAGACCTTTGCCAAATTCTTCACTGAAATTACATTAAAATTTCTCCTAACTTACTGCAGTTTCTATCAGTACTTAAAAAGTATGGATAATTTTTAACTCATATTGATTCAAGTAGAGTAAAAAGTTTTAGTATTACTAATAATAAATATTAATGAAACAAATTCATGAAATTTAACATTATTTTATTAAAAAATTAATGTTAGATGTTAAAGAAAATATTATTAGTAGTATTATTGTATCTCATTGGATCGAGCACTCTTGATTCGAGCTGGCTAAGACATTGATTTGAAGGTCATAGACCCTTATAAGTAGATTATTATATCTTAAAATTAATTAATTGAAACGATTGATGAAATTAAACGATTATATATCATCATTTCTTCAGTACTTTGCTTTGTTGTGCGAGTTGTATTCGTAAGCAGTCGTCGTTTCTGGCGAGGGCGAGAACAAGAGTGTGAATGTGGGGTTACAACGAAATTAGTTGTTTTTGTTGTTGTTTTAATGCCAATTTTAGTGTCGCTTCTGTAATTTTCTTATCAGCCAATTACTGTCAAATGTTCAGAGTGTTAAAGAACCATTTCTTCGTAAGCTTCCCGTTAGAAGTGTGCGCACCGCTGTTTGCGTGGGCGCGTGCGTGCGTGCTTTTGACCGTGACCGCTAGGAGAGTCGCGCCTCCGCTTTCACTCTTGGCGCAAGGTCGCTGCCACGGCGAACTGCGTGGCTGGCGGTGGGCATTCGCGCAACCGCCACAGCCCCTCCCTCGATACGGAAAGTTCACTTCCGCGGATTCATCACTACTTTTCCTTGTAAACGGGAGGAAGACAAAATGTCAAAGCCATTATAGCTCTCTGAATTCCTTAAATCCTTACGTTTTACTCTCTCTCCCTCTCCCCCCTCTCTCTCTCTCTCTATCTCTCTCTCTCTCTCTCTCTCTCTCTCTCTCTCTCTCTCTCACACACACA